ACAAATAATAAAAAAACTACTTATCAAAAAAGCGTATTATAGCATTGAAGAATTCCTGTCTGATGATGTGGTCTCTTCTTTGCCGATGTTGCAGTGACACACAGGTAGAGCATAAATATTTTATAACTATCTTTAAGTTTAAACCTTTTATATTATGTAGATGTAATTATAACCATGACTTACCTATTTTACTAGTATATTCCCACCTGACTTGTGTAAACATGAAGAGTGTGAAGCATCAATAAAATTTCTTTCTTTTTTTTCTTTCTTATTATGTATGTAATTTAATCTATAGTAACGGAATTTCTTAACAATATGTTACTGAAAGTGAATGAAAGAACAAACTAATGAATGTTCTTATATATTTTATTTTCAAGTAATTATTCTATTTGGATTATTACATAATTGTATAACGTACTTTACATAACCAATAAGCAAGTTAATGGGTCAGTTTAAAACTTTGAATTTATTTTTCAGATGTTTCACTAGCCTGTGCTACTCAGCTGACGGAGAGAGTTTGTTGGCGGGAGGTCAGTCGAAAAATGTCTGCATTTACAACGTTAAAGAATCGCTATTGGTGAAGAAATTCGAAATAACACAAAACAGGTCGTTCGATGCGGTCGATGTAAGGCGATAATAAAAATATTAAATAATTGCTATTTACTATGAATTGTCCGTTTTAGGATTTCATAAACAGGAGGAAACTAACCGAATTCGACAATATTGCCCTTGTAGAAGAGAGAGAGGAAAGAGAAGGGGGAAACGTAAGCATTAAGTTACCAGGTGTCAGGAAGGGGGATATGACCGGTCGAACTCTGAATCCGGAGATAAGAGTATTCTCCCTGCAATTTTCTCCTACAGGAGAAAGTTGGGCAGCAGCCACAACGGAAGGTCTGTTGGTTTACTCGCTGCATCATTCTTATGTGTTCGATCCTTGGGATTTGCAGATTGGAGTTACGCCGGCTAGCATCAGGCAAGCTATCAAAGACGATGACCACTCAAACGGTAGGATAGGAAAAGTAAACTTGGATGACGATAAGATTATTTGAATTTTTTTCAGCTCTCATGATGGCCATGAACTTGAATGAGGCTAAGTTAATCCAGGAAGTAGTGGAAAGTACTCCAGTTAAAGATAGTAAGTGTGCATAATTTATTTTTCGAGTTGTTCACCTAATATTGAAGAATGTTCAGAGTCAGAGTCAGAAATGCTTTATTGTCATAAAAGTTTTGTTGACAAAGCAGGCTTGAGAACTAAAACAATCTGAAACATTAAANTTTAGCAGGAGTATATTTGCCGTAAACCAAATATCTGCTTCGGCTAGAACTTGCTCTGTCTGTTGTCTTATGTCACCTTCATCTTTGCCTTTAACTAGAAAAGTTGTATCATCTGCATATGCACTTGATGCATAAACCTTGATATTTTCGAGAAGATCGTTTGTGTAGAGCAAGAATGCGATGCGTGTGTCCAGTTGGAATGACCAGCTCTTGATTTGTGGAGGCAAGGCGCAAGTCGGTTCTTGAATTTTTATAGAAATTCAATTATGAGTGTTGAAAAGGGTTACCAAATTAAAAGCTCTTATTCGGACGCCATCTATTAGAAATTTCCAGAACTACTGTACCCCCTTTCAACACTCGTCAGTGTAGACCAGCTCAGTTACACTGCGATACGAGACACCTCAAGCATACCGATAAGACAAGAAATACGGTTTCCTTGAGAGTTTTAATAAGGTTTTGCATCCCAAACTTTGAAATGAATGAATTAACAAAAATACTAAATCGAAATTGAATAAAAATGGTCACTGTATAATGAAATCAGAGTGTCAATGTTCTGAAATGTTTTATTCTTTCCAATGATGGCCTTAAAAGGGATAATAACTAAGTACAGTGTCTTATTCTAGGGTTTAGTGCACTAAAACCTTACAACTTCTGATCGAAAAACTATTTCCGGAAACCATCGAAGAAACTCAAAGCTGTTTTACACTTCTCCAAACTCCAAATAGACTCCTCTGATTCTTGAGATCCGGGACTCCGGCAGTCTCCAGTAGTAGTCACCTCAGACCTATTTTTTGCAGTGCAGCCAGACACGTCCATGACGATCTTCTCCTTGTGTCCAATTTATTCAATTTATTTCTGTTTTAAGGCCACTAGTAGCTTCTATTCTTTTATTGGTTCTTATGATTTTGCAATTCTTCCATTCTACAATGGAAAGATGGAATTTATTCTTATGGAGGATTTTCAAAGCTTTTACTGTAATCACCACTAGCTGTTCTCTATATAAAGCCAGGCACAGGAAAAACCTTTTCAAAATTTCATCCCTCACACATAGAATCGGATATCGGTTCAAAGTTCAGACAATTCTACCACCTGTTACATTATACCCTTCAGACATATACATATCTAGCATGGCCTTGGTGCTGGATGAACAAAAAACATCTGCGAGACTAACCTCTGTGGGGTATCTTGCGTAAATGACTTGTCGGATACAACTGCGTGGTATTAGCCGGGGAAGTAGTTGTTTTCCGGCAGGTATTCACCAGAACCTTGCATGAATCTTGAATGAATGTCTGTCAGATATAATTTAATATCCAGCGTTGCATTAGCCGGGGAAGTAGTTGTTTTCCGGCAGGTATTCACCAGAATCTTGCATGTATGTCTGTCAGATATAATTCAATATACAGCGTTGCATTTGCCGGGGAAGTAGTAGTTTTCCGGCAGGCTACAACTGGCTAGTATTGTAATTAAAGATGGTCTTTTGTAATTTGATTTTTCTCATCTGATATGTTTTCTTCATTTGATCTGTTTGACCTCCTTCATCTTTCAGATGAATCAATATATTTGATTTATCAATAAATTGTTTATTTCAGTTGAATTGATAGTTTCCACTTTGGAATATAAATATATCCAAAGGTTATTAATGACGATAGCAACATTTTTGGAAAGTTCCCGACATTTGGAATTTTACCTGTGCTGGACACAACATATTCTGACTCTGCACGGACCGAAAATCCAAGCCCAAAAACACATGCCGACTTTGTTAGCCCTAGAAAAGAGTCTGGTGAGGAAATACGAACAACTGTCAAAACTGTAAGAATTTTGAAATTTTTCAATGAATATCCGGCACTTGATATATTTTTTTTGCAGCTGCAATTATAATACATATACAATGAATTATGTAATTGGATTAGGAGAGGTAGCAATTAAGAAGGAACTGAAAATGGAACAGGACATTGAGGAAGAAGACATTGAGGAAGAGGTAGAAGAACTTCAAATGGATTTTGCAAGTGATGTTGATGAATATGAATGAGTCTATTGAACGCAGAGGTATTATTTTCATGTATTCATTTATTAAATTCCTGAAAGTGTATATTTTATTATCAATAATTATTTCGGTAGGGATTTTCTCTCTAGTCGATTTATTTTCATTCAATATTTTTCATAGAATGTGGCATCTATAAATATACAAGGTCTGTTCAAAAAACGTGAATTTCCATTTTTCTCAAAAATATTCTTTTATTCACCAATTTCTATGTTGTTCCCTCCAAAGTAGTCCGCCTCAGATAAAAGTCATTTGTGCAGTTCTGATATGCACTTTTTGGTATATCTTTAAGCTCCCTTAGCTATTCGGTTTTCATCTCCTCAATCGTCGCAAAAACGCGGTCTCTTCAATCTTGGAAACATGGAAAAGTCTCAGGGGGCTGAATCTAGTGAATACAGTGGTTGTGGGATGAAAAAATTACTTACAATGACAAATCAGCAGGTGCATTATCGTGACTCAAAATCCATGAATGGTTTTTTCACAGTACTGGACGTTTTCTTCGTATTGCTTCTTGCAAGCGACATATAACTCAAGATAATACTACTTATTGACCGCACGACGATGAGGCAAGAACTCCTGATGCACTACGTCTTGGTAATTAAAGAAAACAGTGAGCTGGGCTTTTCCATTGGGACAATTGTTCGGGACGAGTTTACCAACAAAAAAACCCTATTCAAATGTATGTAGCCCCTGAAATTTGAACACTCGCCTAATTCTTTTAATAGACCACGTAGTTAATATATTACAACACACCAGTGATAAAAATAACCCTAAAATGTAGTGAGAAATAGCTGGGAATGTACTAACAACAATTAACAAACTTCAAGTTTTCAAAAAGTCGTAAATTCAGTGCCAATGCGATCTGACAGACCGTGCGCGCCTACTGAAAGGTTCAGAATAAAGATCGAAATGAAAATAAGGTGTGTCATAGTAGTTTTTATTGCTTAACTTTCTTACATTTTGTCAAATATATAAAAACACATGGACGGATCTTAATATTAAATTCACCTAAAAATTGTATCAGCAGAAAGAAATACTTCATCCAACTTAGCAGAAAATACACACTTTATATATAATATTTGGAACTAACTACGAAATTGAAATAATCGAGTTGTAATAAATGTTGATGAAATTGTTATCTATTTCATTCTGAAGGATGAACTAGAAATATAAAAATGGCAGTGAATTTGTGTTTTCTATCAATATAAACAAAAACTATACCACTGAAATAAATACATTAATGTTGATGCTATAAATATATAACCTTTGGTGCAAATTATACTTCAAGTGATTCGTAATTACGTAAAGGAAACTTTTTGACTGTCAACAAACCGGTACGTATATGTAGGTAACAAAGTAAAAATACCTTTTTTCTACAAAACTCTCTACTTTGGTTGTGGCGTCGTCGACCTCCTATACGAGGACGAAGGTAAAGCTAATGCTGGTGGCAAACTGGCAGTGTTGGATAAGGTGTTATCTAGTTTTCTTGCTTCGTGCTCTAAAAGTAGAGCGTCCAAAGAAGGGTCCTGAGATACTGTTCGCAACGAATCGCCCAGGGCTTGCCTCAGCTGCTGCATCTCCCTGCCGGCTTTGGTACTTCTCAGAACGTACTGTTGTCTCCGTTTGATTTCCTGGTTGAGTTGTTCTCGTAGTAGGGTTACCTAAGAAAAGTTATAATTGAAGTTCGCAAAAGAGTCTAGCGACATTACTTCACAAAAGTTCGAATATCTAGTTAAATGGCTAAATTGGTGTATATATTGAAGATATGTTCAAAAGTTGATTGCGTTTGTATACATTTTTAACTAGTACTCTGTAATAAAGTTTATGCATACATCAAATACATTTTTATTTTAAAAGTTGATTGGGTTCCTATACATTTCTAGTTAGTACTTTGTAATAAAGTTTATACATACACTTAGACAATGTTAAGGCATTCTCGATTTGTGTTTGAATATTGTTTGTTGTAAATCATGCCCGAAAGGAAATAACGCCGGCCGCCACTGGTAACCACAAACCAAACATGATGTAGCTATATAAGAGCGCGGCAATGCCCAATGTTCCCTGCCGCTCGAGAAGCAGCGAGAGTAATGCTACCGATATCGATGGAACTTCGGTGAAAATTCTACGATGTTCGATTACGATATTTAGGCGCTGGCGGCAGGCATATCGAGACAGCTGGGCCGTCTCCATGGGGGGGGAAGCCTCCCCCCTGCTTTTTCGACTTGGGAAAAAGTTGGAAAATGAATGAAAATAAAAAAAATAAAAATGAGAGAAAAGAAAGGGAGAGGTAATAAGAAAAGGGAAAGAACCGGAAGAAGGTTGGGGTTTCCCAGCATGCATAACTTGGAGGTCCCATACATACATTCTGAGTTGTTTGAAAATTTCAAAAAAGTTTAAGACCATCCTGAACAGTTCACAAATTTTGAAGTGATAATTTTACAAAATTCCCAACTTTTCACTGTCTTTCGACTTGAAAAAGTTGGGAAATTTCGGGCCGTGAAGATAGAAAAAATAATAGTAGAAAACAATAAGCACAATATTATTCAAGTGCTGTTTCCTTTCATTTGTATTGAATATTACTATACATGGTGGAGACCAAGGACCTTGGTCCAAAGTAGAATAATTCCCATTATTATTTTTATGATTACCAAAATTTATTTTTGTTTGTGCATACCCTAACGGGCATAAGCATTCAGCCAATCTTTGGATAGCTAAGTAAGGAAATTAATATATTATAGCAGTAACTTATCCCTCGGCTTTCACTTTTTCGAAAGTTGGGAAATTTTGTTGGTGGGGTTGGTAAAATTTGGATTCCCTCCTCCCCCTGGTATTTCATTTCGCTACGGCCCTGCGAGACAGTCAAGTATATAGTCAAGTGGACGTTACAGTGCGGTACGCAATGTGATCTAGTCGACATAAAACTCTTAACTACTTTTAAACTATCAAGTCAATTACAAGTAAATACACAAAACTAGTAAAATTAAAGTATTCTGATAAAAAGAAATCTTGGATAACAAAGGCAATCATTGTATCGGTGAACAAAAAAAAAACAACTATGTAAACAAGAAAAACGTTATCCAAATAACGAAAATATTCAAAACACTTATAGAAAATATAGGAACAAGCTGAATCTGCTAATAAAAAATGCAAAAATGCAATATTTTGATTAAGAAATACAATTCAGTCAAGACAGTCCACAAATTTTGTATTGACAATTTTACAAAATTCCCAACTTTTCGCTGTTTTTTCGACTTGAAAAAGTTGGGAAATTTCGGGCCGTTAAGATAGAAAATATAATAGTAGAAAACAATAAGCACACTATTATTTAAGTGTTGTTTCTTTTCATTTGTATTGAATATTCCTATACATGGTGGAAGACAAAGTACCTTGGTCCAAAGTAGAATAATTCCCATTATTATTTTTATAATTACCAAAATTTATTTTTGTTTGTGCATCCTAACAGGCATAAGCATTCAGCCAATCTTTGGATGCTATGTAAGAAAATTAATATATTATAGCAGTAACTTATCCCTCGGCTTTCGCTTTTTCGAAAGTTGGGAAATTTTGTTGGTGGGGTTGGTAAAATTTGGATTCCCTCCTCCCCCTGGTATTTCATTTCGCTACAGCCCTGCGAGACAGTCAAGTATATAGTCAAGTGGACGTTACAGTGCGGTACGCAATGTGATCTAGTCGACATAAAACTCTTAACTACTTTTAAACAGATTGTGTTTTGTTCTTGATATTTTAGTAGCTTATTAAAAAACAGTTAAAGGAACAGGTTTGAAATATGTTTTTTCCGCTAACCAGCGATCGCACCCCTACGAGCGACAACCCTCAGAAGTAGAAACTTGGGCGAGCTAAGGACTAACGAGATCTTACCTTTTAACGTGTGGTTCCTAACATATTGTGGGATATTCTCAATTTTTTCAGGAACACTACTTTACAAAAAGATGTTACTTTTACATCAATCACTGATGATACTAAAATTCCAATCGTGAATGCCTATAGACTGATGTTCCTGAATATATACAGTGTGAGCAGTCACGAAACAATATTGCGTAGTGCGTATGCGCACGCTTGTGGTGTATGTGTATGAGAGGTGTGGCGAGTGCATGCGTGCGCGTTTGCTGTGTGTGAGTGGTGAGACGCGCGCGCGTTTGATGTAGCGCATGTGTGGTGTGATGCGTGCGCGTTTGCTGTAGCGCGCGCGCGCGGTGGCATGTGTGAGAGGGTGGCAGATGTGTGGCGCGCGTGTTTGTGGTATGGCATGTGTGTGTGTGCGGGGGCACACGCGCAAATTTCTGAATCTGATAGCTCCCTCAAGAAGAACTATATTTGTTAGGCAATAAAGCACAGCTTTGTTCAATCATTTGGTATACTCAATAATGACCATGTCATGTTGATTACACTCGATGCGATAGTTTGTCTTATTCAGTAATTAAGTAATTTCATCATTAATGTCATATAATGTTTTTCTTACAGCATGAAAATTTTTAACCAAAGGAGGTATAACCCATATTTACCCTAATTTATATATTAATAACCTAACTTTAACCTAGTTTGAAATTACTATGCCCTAACAATTCAAATCACTCACATCCTGTAAGAAATATATCTGACTAGTCAAACGAATAAAATGAAGACAAAGACACATTGTCATAACACATCAAAACGCACAATGTAATAAATATACAAACGAAAATATATTTAAAATTTAAGACAGCAAAACATTCATTTTAGAAATTCATCCACCATAAAAATCAGATTTTAACTTTTTTTCATTATGGTTCATATCAACTGATATTTTTACTTCATTGAAACAGTTAATGCCAATACGATTTGGTTAGATTTTACTCATTAATAGTAATGTCACTGTTACTGATGGATGTGAACCCGTTTTTTTCACTTACACTATCAGTTAAAATATGAAAACACACAGGAGTTTCAAAACTTGAAGCTGGTGAAATGGGTTTTTCACGTATCAAAAGGGTGAGTTTTGAAAATTGGGCTGCACTTTAGTATTTGGGATAACCCCCACCAGGGGGAGTGGCATATCAATCGAAAGGGGACGATGAGAAGAACACAATGGTATAGGTTTTATCGCGAGGAAATAAGAGGAAAAAAATTTGAGAAATGTCAAAATTTTCTGACATGAACTAACCTAACCTAACCTAACCTAACCCAACCCAACCTAACCTAACCTAACCTAACCTAAACTAACCTAACCTAACCTAACCTGTGTCTGAATCACAGAATAAACCAAAGCGCATCAGCCGAGACATTCTTCGAGCACTTGTCGATGCCTATCGAAAAGGCCGTGACATTGATATACTGCTTCGCCAATGAAATGGATTACGAGAAAGCCATCAAGGAGAGTAATATCCGTGACTACGAGACATCGAGTGCCACTGTAGCTGATTGGTACAGCTATTGTCGAGAAGTCTGTATGGTGGCCTTGAACGAGGTCTACAAAGAAGGCCAGATCGGAGGTGTCGGTCATATAGTAGAGATCGATGAAACCAAAGTTGGAAAAAGAAAGTACAACCGAGGTCGTAAAAGAGAAGGCCATTGGATACTCGAAATGTTCTGATACCTCTGATCAAGAAGCACGTGACTCCGGGCACTGAAATTCACACCGACGGGTGGAAACCTTACCTATCCCTCTCCAATGAAGGATATGTCCACAAAACCGTTAACCACAGTAAGAAAGGCAAAGGACGGTTCGTCGATCAACAAACCGGTGCACACACTTAGACAATAGAAGGAAGTTGGAAATGGTTGAAACACGATTTGGAAGAGCGTGGTTACAGTGGTGATGACCTGGCCATGCACATGTGCGAATATCTCTGGCGTCGGGAAGTCCGTCACAATAAGTTGGATCCCTTCTTAGAACTCATTAAATGTGTAAAAAGTCAGTTTAAACCAAAATATATGTAATAGAATAACATGAATAAAAAATATGTTTTGTCATTTCCTCGCGATGAAACCCATACCATTGTGTTCCTCTCATCGTCCCCTTTCGATTGATATGCCACTCCCCCTGGTGGGCGTTATCCCAAATACTAAAGTCCTGCCGAAAATTGTTGTCAATACTTTATTTTGCGTAGTGACGGCCTTACCAAGCTTGGCTGAAGAACCCCAGAACAACAGGCCAATTACGTGATCATGGATTTCGGCCAATTACATCAAGAGTCACCAATATTAGTGCTAATTCACGCATTTATCGACATAGGTTTACCTGGTTCTCCAATCTAGCTACTTGCTGCCGATGGCTCTGTTCCCTAGCTTCCAATAATCTTTCAGCTTGGAGTTGAGCCGCTCTATATCTCTCGATTTCGGCTCTGTCGAATTTCGAATCCAGAGGTTGCCTTTGACTTTTCAGTCTATTGATTTCTGCATCTTTTTCGGCTAATTCTGCTTCCAAACGCGAAATTTTCATTCTCAGTTCTCTGTTCTCGCTTGTGGCGGATTCTGTTTCGTATTTTTCCGGGCGCTCACGCTCATACGACTTGCTTCTAACCCCTGCAGGTACCTTGGACGCGGCTCTTTCTAAGTTACGATTTTCCGCATCTAGTTGGCGTAACTGTAAAATCAAATTGTTTCAAATTACACTGTTATTGCAGAAGTTGGGACAGATTAAAAATTTGTATAAGGATTTTTGTTACTTATTCGAATGGAAACACGTGACAAGAGTGTTCCCAACTCAGAGGTTTCTCCCCAAATTTAGGGAGAACAGTGGGATGGGATTTTATTAGGGGTTTTATATTTTTAGGGGTATTTTTAGAGATTTCTATAACTTAAATTTTTTATGATTCGATTGACGCTGCAACGGAATGGTAGAACATGCACAACATTTCAACCGTCCGCAAAAATGTTAAAATTATTCAATGTTAACAGTATAACTCTAAAAAGTCAGAATCTGAAGAAAATGATTTGTTACTTGAAGTTTTAGATAATTTATTAATAAAGAATATTGAAAAATGTTGCTGAATGATATCATTCATTGATTGTTTTGAATTTATTATTTGTTTAATGATATATTATCATTCATTGATTATTTTTGATGTATTATCTATGTAAATATATTCAATTATTCCATAAATAATAATGTCTTTTAGGAGGAATTCCTAGTAACTGTGTGGATTTTAGGGGTTTTTGATTGGAAGATACATTTTTGATAGTTGAGAACACTGTCAGGTTGGGAACACTGTCAGCTTGGCAACACTGGGTCACATTCTGTCATCAATTTTGTGGTAGGTACTTCTTGTATGGTTGTATTGGAAATTGTTCTTATTTTGCTAGTTTTTTAGTGTATTTTAGTTTTGGAAGGTGAATGAAGTTGAAGCTGTATAATTTTTCTATTTATGTGGTAATAATCATTAGATAAATAATGGTTTCATAAATAAAAAAGTTGTATCTATGTATCGATTATTTCATTGTAATATGACCTCCAAATCCTATATAAATTATTTTGCCTTTCAGGTGGTGGCATAATTTGATTTGATATGCCGTTCCCCATATTTGAATACTCTTAGTTTTAAACGTGAAAAAAATACAGATTAACCGAAAGGGGATACCTGCTTCTGAGAGTCACTTTATGTCTGCAGATCCTAGAAAATTGCACTCAAACGTACAACGAAACACCATATGAAAAATCAGCTTACTAACCTTACTATTCATAGAGTCGACCTTGGCTCTCAGCTCGTTTCTTTCCCGTTGACACGCATGAAGTTGGTTCTTCAGCTCTTCCTCGTGGTGCGACGCTATGGTGGTGTCGGTCGGCCATTGAGCTAATCTCAATTGAGATTCTAAACCGGATCTTTGCACTTCGTTGTTCGCCAGTTCGTTATTGAGTCTAGACACTTGATCTTGAAGAATTTGGTTATTCCTCCTCATTTCAGCGAGATTTTGTTGAGTGGCTTCGAATCTTTCGGTTATAACACGCCGTTCGTTTTCGCTGTTGGCCAATTGCTTTTGCAACTGGAGATGTGGAAAAAGGTGTCAAAGATTTCGAAATTTGTTACGCCTACGAATCATTGTACATTATCATGCAAGAGAACTTGAAGTCAAAGATAGAGGGCGAATCCTTTTCGGCGGTCGAGGTCAAAGCTTGGCGTTTTAAACAATATTTTCTTTGATTATGTTTCAATATTCGGTTATAAACATTAATAAGTACCCTCAATAGTTCAACTCAAGTTTTAATGATTTAATCAAGTTGTCAATTATGTAATGTCCTTAATTATGTTACTGTGAATGCCTTCAGTGCTAGTAAAACAATAATGTATAATGTATCAATGCTTTTGAAACAAGAGTTTATACATTTAAAAAAATACTTTAGGCGTGTAGGTCATATTGATTTATGCATACTGTGAAATTTTCAGGTTGATCCGTTAAATAGTTTGTCAGAAACGGCTAATTAACGCTCATTATAAAAAGCCCTATATATATGAATGATCTCTTGTAGATAATTTTTGGATTTAAATGTCATGCCCTTACACTCTATGGCGTATCCAGATTGTTACTGTAGCATTGGAGGATATATATGTTATCCTTTCAATTCAGTTTTTGGTAGATTATCAATCCCAACTTCTTCATAAAATTCAGATTACAATCCGTTGTATTCCCCATCTACAGGCTTTAGTTTATACTTTTGTCTCTTGGTGAATGAAACCACCACTTTTTTCCATGAGATAAGACAATGAAGCCTTCTTTTGCAATCCACTTCTGGATTAGACCTCTAATGGTATCAAATACCGATAGTCGTTTCAGCTCACAACGTCATCAGCATAATCTCAAGTGGTGCACCATACTGATGTAGCTTTACCAGCAATTTGTCGACAAGGAGTGATAATTGCATTGATGGCAAGTGCTCAGAACATTGTCTAGAAACATATTCAGTATACTACAGCTCAGCTCTGTCCCCTTGAAAGTAGTCCACTTAACATATAATATAATGTCCTTAAGCTCTCTCAGCGATCTCACCAGTGAGAGATATAGAGCGATCTCACAAGTGACATCAGGTGTGCCCCAGAGTAGTATTTTAGCCCTTGTCTTTACTCTTTTTTCATCAATAATCTTTACACACACACACGCACTGTTGTTTCTTGGGAATAAATATATGTTTAATTACTATTATTAGCATACTGAAAAACGACGCATTTACTCTGAGAAGCATAGAAAAACAATTTAAGCACCCTTGAAACAATTTTTTTCGTTTAATCCGATTTTTATCTGCATTAATTCATCATATGCATTCGTAACAAGAATCTTTACTGTACTATCTTTGAATTTACCTGTTTAAATCTTTCAGCGCTCGTTTGAGAAGCCGAAGTCGTTTCCATCAATGCTCTCTGTAAACTCTGTAATTCAGATTTCAATTCAGACTCGCTAGCAGAAGCCTTTTCCAGCGATAGAGTCATCTGATCGATGGTAGATTTTAGAGAAACGCATCTTTCTTCCAAGCTGGCAATGGTGCGACTTTGTTTCTCGCATTTTTCTTGTATTTTCTGCAACCACATAAGACTAGATGTAGATACATTTTATTAACAGAAACCACTTAGGAGGAATATGCGGCTTTTTAAAGATATGATCGACAATTGCAATTAACTACTTGTTTGAATTCAAACGCGATTAAAAATATTGAAAAATAAAGTACTCTAGAAGATAACATTGTACAAGATTATTTATTTTTATCAGATTAATTTTGTTTGGAGTTTTGGTTTTCAAAAAGATTGTTGTAGTGCGAGTTTCGGTTGGATAAAATAGATTTAATAAAAATTTGCTTCAAAATAATAGAAAGGCGATACATACATTTCCAAAATTGAAAAACATATACATCAAAGGGTACTTTTTGTAACTGTGAATGTTATGGAAATCAAGGAAATCTGTATATTACTCTCTACTTCAAATTTAGTAAACGTAGTTGATATTACCTGTATGTTATTATCTTTTTCTTGTAACATCATCTGCAATCTTTGTAAATCACCTTCTGCTGACATTCGCTGAAGCTCAAGTTTGGTTGACCTGCTTTCAGTTCTGCTAAGTTCTTCTTGTAGGTTACGCTTTTCACATTCAAGTCGTTCAAGAGCCATTCTCATTTTTTCTATTTTGTCCTAAAATATGTCAAGTTAACTTAGGGATTCAAAGCAAAATCAGTTGTGAAACTTGCCTCGTATTGTTGTTTCTCTTCATTACCACTGCTCAATGTGAGTTCTAAGTTGACAACTTTTTCTCTCATTTGCTTGGCTTCCTCACTCTTTTTCTCGAGAGCTTGGGTCTGGAATAAAGTAATGCTTTACAATGGTCTTTATTTTATTGCACTGTTCGTTTTTTCCCTCAATCCAATTTAAAAAACCAGAAAATATTCAAAAGTTTAACTTTTCAAGACCGGAGATAGCTGTGTCAAAACTCTTTTCTAGGTTTGTTGGCAATGATCTGCATATTGAGCCATAGAGTGTAAAAAAACCAACGCTCACAGTCAGGTATCTGAATAACCCAGAGTTTTCCCGTGGGTTGGGCTACCTATGCGGGGCTCTGCCAGAGGTGACCAATTCTTCCCTTGCTACTCGTGGGAACATACATTAATGAAACAAACACAAAAATAGAAACAACAAAAACCAATCCCGAGGCTGGGCAGAAGTACTCACCTCAATCTAAAGCGGTGGCTGGGGATGTTCAGAAATGTTCACTCCAGTCTCACTCCAATCTGCCGCTTGGAGTGAGGCTGGACATAGCAGATCACCTGGTGATGTAATACAAAGGCCAAGGCGTAAGCGCATTTGCGGCGCCGAGGCCAAAATGAGAAAGAGAGCAAAGGAGGCAGGAGTGGCAGCAACTATAACTGCACCCTCCTCCTCCCCCACTCCACCTCCAACAGCAAGGGCACTTTCTGGGGCAGGCGCCAAGAGCTCCGCCTAAAAATGAAGGCAAGGAACCGACTGCCCCTGCAGGCAAGCTCCCTCACTTGTGCACCTCCACGGAGGCAACCCCCAGGAAGTTGAAGAAGCCGCACAGCGACAGTAATGTCGCTGCACCTTCCCATGGTGTGGTCATTCCATTTGGAACGGAGGTGAAATATCTTGGCATTGTCCTTGATAAAAGACCCACCTGGAACGCTCACTTGGAAAACGTTTTACACAAAAGCCAGACTGTCTGTATGAATATGTCGAAGGATTTGTGATAAGCCAGAGGGCGAAGCTCTACACCGTCAGCGGCCATGGAGATCCTTCTAGATCTACCTCCGCTTCACATTTTTCTGGAAAGAGATTTGTGCACATTGCCAATTGCACAAATCAATTCAATGCAGAGTGCAACAGACTGCTGGTTGACATTGGAAGTCGCAGCATTCTGGAAATGACCGCTGACTTTATGCCTCTAACTGTCAACTACGAACTGCCATATAAAGCGTTGGAATCTCTTGGCTCCTACCGAGCAACATCTAAATTGGTAGCAAACTACCAAAAAAGACTTTCCTCGAGTTTTCCCAAAGAGGTCATCTGAAAAATGCCCTCAAAGGAAACAGCAAAGCTGAAATAGAACAGGCAACATGACCCATGAAAGGGAATACCAAGAGAAGTCCAAATAGGTCTATTAAATGGAAAAACTTTTTTGCCCTATATGAAGAATATTACAAACTGGACTGGGAGAATTCTTATAGAATTAACTCCAACGAAAACCATCACAAAGAGTCAAAGGTCAGCCAGAGGATTTTTAGCAACACCAGGAGTGTACCGCATCCATTATCGTTGTAGATCGAACTATACAATAATAATTTGTCCTTTGAATTTACAAAGTTGAGAATTCGGAAAAGTCTGGAATTTACGAAATCAAATGTAAGGACTGTGACGTAAAATATTATGGACAGACTAAAAGATATATTAAATAAGATATAAGGAACACGTAGCACACCTAAAATATGGAAGACCAGAAAAATCAGTAGTCGCCCATCATATTCTGCAACAAAACCATTCCATAGACTTTAGTTCATTAAAATTGGTTGGACCAATAACTAATAGTATACTGTATAGCTTGTTAAAATACCTGACTATTAGGTAAGGCCACATTGTAAACCTAATTTAAGACAATTAATACGCAGGTACCTAGCAGAGGTATCTATAATTTAAATAGGGACAACATTGTATGTATATTTAGTTTAATCTTCCTCTTGAAGATGATCACTTGGTGATCGAAACACGTGTCGAAGTGTTGAAAATTTCGGTGTTGCGGTAAAACTCCAGTAATATTAGTTCTAGTTCTGCATTACAAACATTAATTTTCCATTTTCTTACTTGTGACTGAACTTCAACATTTTTCTGGTTCAATTTCGCTTCCAAATTACTCTTCTCTTCCTGTAAAATCCTCAAGTTCTGCAAAACTTTACTCAGCTTATTGTCACCCTTATTTTGATTTTCCTGGGCCTCTTGAAGCTGCTTCTTGCTCGTTTGTACTTGTGTTTTGTAGTCGTCCTGGCGGAAAAAAATCATGAGGGATTTATAACAGACATGTTAAAATATTTTCTTACTCGTTCCCTCTCAATTTGTGCTACTTGCTGCATTAAATTTCTCACGCCTTTCCGGACAACTTCCGGATCTATATCTATAGATCCATCTCGACCGTCTTCATATGCTGGAATGAAATGAAGATTAATCATTGATAAACATGAAACAAATAACATTTTTGTAGGACGATTAGAGTATCAGCAAAACCTTAAAATTTCGAACTTACTTCGAGCCGGACTCCATCTCCTTGAAGGACTCAGCAGCCTATAAGGCATCGTGACAGATCCATCTAGCTGAACTCCGGCAATCCGCCGAAGAGTTGAAACAACGCTGCTCAATTTTTGCTCTATATCCCTCTTTGAGGATTCCAATTGAGCCAGTTGGGTTTCTAGAGCTCTAACCCTACCTTCCGCTCCTCCAAGTTTGGCCTGTCACAAAGATGTGAGGGTTATTGATTTCAACAGGATAATCCTGATAAAGGAAATTATGAAATAGCTGTTTTTTGGACATAAAAAAGGCTTTTGACCGTGTTAATCATAAAATTCTTTAAAACAATATTATATTCAATGGGAATTAGAGGCAGGATAAATGATCTTTTAACTTGATAGTTCTAATAACTAAAAGAACTATTTGCACTCAAATAGTTCTTTTAGTGAATAGATTTAGCAATCATACTTCTTTGCAGGTGTCATGAAGTTAGATGTTATACTGGAACGGGTCCTCCACAGCAGTAATATGAGTTATTCAAAGCAGCTCACTATTTTAACTAGTACCACAAGACACCCTTGCAAATGCATGATGTAATGCTATGTATCAAAAGACTTTTGGTAACCAATCCATACCATGTAAAGGTTATGTTTATACTGAATTCGGCATAATACATGCCTCCTTGCAATGACATATTTCTTCAAAGGTTCGAATACTGGGTCAACTAAGAAGATCTCTATAAGATTCTCTGAAATTTATGAAATCGACAAATCTCCATTATTGGAGGTAACAATGGTCCGTCATCGACAAATAAACCTGTTCGCTGCTGGTTCCATCCTGCTAAGAATTAAACACTCTGGTCAGATGATGGTGTGTACTGGATAGGTTTTTCTACCAAGTCAGCACATACAGATCTGAAGCAGCATTGTTTTTTGGTTTCATAAGGAGTCTTTCAACTTCGACATCGACAAATAAATCTGCTGGTTCCACCCTGTTAAGAATTAAACACCCTGGCCGGATGATGGTGTATACTCGATGGGTTTTTCTACCAAGTCAGCTCATACAGATCTGGAGCAGCATCGTTTTTTGGTTTCATAAGGAGTCTTTCAACTTCGACATCAACAAATAAATTTGTAATCTGCTAGTTCCATCCTGCTAAGAATTAAACACCCTGGTCGGATGATGGTGTGTGCTCGATGGGTTTTTCTACCAAGTCAGCTCATACAGATCTGGAGCAGCATCGTTTTTTGGTTTCATAAGGAGTCTTTCAACTTCGACATCGAAAAATAAATTTGTTATCTGCTGATTCCATCCTGCTAAGAATTAAACACCCTGGTCGGATGATGGTGTGTACTCGATAGGTTTTTCTACCAAGTCAGCTCATACAGATCTGGAGCAGCATCGTTTTTTGGTTTCATAAGGAGTCTTTCAACTTTGACATCGTCAAATAAATCTGTAAACTGCTGGTGCCATTCTGCAAAGAATTAAACATTCTGATAAGGGCTCTTGCAACTTCTTCCAGGATAAACAGATGACTCAGTTCATTATGGTCAGGTTGTTGAAGCCTTCTATAGAACGGCCCAAACTAAGAAAGCGTCTAGTTGTTCATTCAAGAAGGATTTCGCCCGATCAATCATCGGTGAATTATCGTGAACACGCAAACAAAATTCCTATGAGGTCAGATCAACTGAATGAGGTTAAATAAAAATAAATCATACCTTCAATTCTTGTATTTGTTGTGTCGCATCAACCAAACACACTTCCAAGTTGTGCTTCTGATCTTCGAGTCGCTTTTCTCTAGCTTTGCTGTCCTCCAAGTGCACTAGAAGATCCTGCTCTCGGGCATGCCATTGCTCTTCCAGCTGACCCGAATGTGCTCTAGTTTTGCTTAGTTCTTGTCGGGTTTGCTCCAAGTTACGTTCTAATTCCGATATCTGAAAATGGAAATGTTGGTGGAGATTTATTATTTAATTCAATTTCCTAGGAAGCTTTTTTTTCTTCGACACCTCGAAGATCTCGACTTCTTGATGTCTTATGATGAGAGAGTGGAGATCTCGAGATGAAGACGAGGTTTTGTGAAAAAAAAAAGTCGATATAAAATGAATGAATGAGTATTCAATCTTTCTACCTGCTTTCTAAGCTGGTGTACTTCTTGGTGAGCTCTTTCCCGTTCTTCAACTTCATTCAAAAGTCTAGCTTGTAGTTCCTTCTCTTCAGATTGCTGTTGGGAGTTGGAAGCTTGACTACGCTGTAATTCTTCTTGGATGCTTTGTACTTTGTGTTCGATCTGGAGTTGTTCCGTTTCCAAGTTCCTTATTTGGTTTTGTAGTCGGTTTCGTTCATTTTCAAGGCTAACTTTGATATCTTCAAGGTCTAAAATGTAGGAATTCACGGAATTTATATCGTTAAAAATCAGAATTATCTTCATGATTTCTATAAGATTGTTAATGCTTGATATTGAATTTTTCACCGGCGGAAGTGGAGAAATAGTTTTGGAATCTATTGATTAAACTGCTATGAGTGGTTTCCATCGAGTTAAATCGATTTTGAAAGTACAAACGATCGGGGTGTGAAACTGGTACCTATTATTTATTTCCAACAAAGAGTTTAGGATTATTACATTCACCTTGATAAAATGGGAGGACTCCGGATAATAACACAACCATTAATGATTCACATGACTTAGATGGAAAAAGTGGATAATATTTTCTTTTGAATGATTTGATAGAATGATAGAAGATCAAAGTTCCATAAGTAGGTAAGTTTTAATGCTAAAAAAAAATGCAGAACAGATTTTGTTAAAAATCGTCGAAGGTATGTCTCACCCACTTCCATCATTCATATGTATAAAATGAGTTTTTTGACATCAAGTAAGACTTGTAACATATCATTTATTCATTTTGCAATCACATTCTATTATTCATAAGTATAAAATGAGCTTTTTGAAATAACGAGAATCAAGTAAGACTTGTAACATATCACTTATTCATATCGAAATTTGTATTTACCTTATTTTGCAAAGCAAGCCGTAAATAAACTTAAATACATTATTTTTCTCTTTCAAAGCAAAACACATTTTTCCTGTTATTTTTTGTAACTGATTTTTTGTATACTGTTGTTTTTTCATGATTCTTGGAATGATTTCAGTTTTAAAACTTGTTACTTTCTTTGGATATCTTTTGATACCCATGGAATTCAGTATTTGTAACCATAATATAAGGCGAGAACATTATGTTAAGCTACAAAACACAGGACAAAGTTTTGGGAAAAATATTTTTTTGCAATGAATCACTGACTCAATTTGTCGGGAAACACCCCCCTAAAATTTGAAGTTGTAAACCGATTTTAATA